ATGTGAGATGGAATCCACAGCATGGCACTCTGACTCCCCTGCCACAATCTTACCATCCCGGTCTGGCTTCTGACCAAGCATGCAAAAATTTTAACTTAATGGGTTTGAGAGCATTTTGGTGACAGAGAATCATTTTACAATTAAAATGTCAATTTTGATACTAGATGCTTTTCAGTGAAAAGGAGTATGGCAAAGTTCTGTTGAAGGGTGGGGCCCCCCAATTTATTGATGCGTGCTCCAAATACTTTAAGAGAGCCATCACTCTGTACGACAAAGCGCACTACCAGCTGACCATGGATTTGGTGAACAGAACCATAACGAAATTTTAATTTGCGGAGGTTGCTGTGTGACTAAGTTTAAATCAGTTAAGGCTTTATTTTTGGGCTTCAAGGCGAAGTTTTGGTTGTGTTTAAGAAGTTTTTGGGGGGAAATGGAGGAATGGTAGAGGAAAGGGGGGAAATACCCCAGGGGGCGGAGAAGTGCGCTGTTCCTTACTTGAATAGATCATGTATCTGATTCATGCGGAGGTCGTTTCCCATTTTTTTCGCCCAAAATTTGGGGAGTGTTCCCCAGTGCTGAGGAAATTTTGGAGGGCTTCGGGGCAGGGGTTTGAAGGGGCTTGCCTGGCTATTAACCCCAATTGGGATATTTTTTCAGTAAAACGATCTCTGATGTTTGGAAAATTTTAAGTTTTTTTGATTTTTTAAAATTTTGGCGTACGAGGGCATCCTAAAATGATCCATTGCTTCTTTCGCAGTTTTTCCACCCCTAAAAGCTTCCAAAGACAAAAAGAAAGTAGCGGGCGCATAATCAACCAATGATCTAATAAAACAAGATAATCATTTTCACATTTTAATTTTTAGCCCATACGGGGGTGAAATCCGCACAACCTAATGTCTCGCCTTTTTTGTATTGGGAACAAAAGCTTTACAAAGGCCCAATAGTGAACCTAAGGGCCCTAGACCCTGTATCTGCTTCATTTTCTAGAAGGCCCATCATGAAATTGGATCTGACGAACTGGCCTCTCATCGAGGAGGGCGCCTTTGAGTTTCTTTGTTTTTTTCTGAAATTTAAACCCCCGGCCCTGACATGAGGCTTACATGATTAAAATGTTTTGGGTGTTGGGAATCGGGGTGTGAACTTTTTCCACAAAACTAATTTTAAAAATATGGGTGACTGGGATACTTAAGTAATGCTTTAATTAGAAATTAAAGTGTGGGACTGGCACACCCCCCTGGGGGGTTTCCAAATTTAAAAGTCTTTAGTTCCCTTTTCTTTCTGGAACAACACAACGATTTTTGTTGGAAGGAGCCTTAATCCGGGGGAGAAGCCACCCTACAACACCCTTTCTGGCAAGTTCACTAATGTTTACATGTGGGTTTGGGGCACATAAAAAAGGGGGTTTTTAAGTAAAGGGAAGTGTTTTGAGCTGTCAGTGTGCAGGGTGAGAAGGTGGTATGCAATGATCACCTCCTTCCTGCATGAAACCTTAAAACCGGGGAAAAAAAAATTGTTTGTTTCTGTACATGAGACGATTAAGAATCATTTCTCAAATGTTTTCACAAACACTAGTAAGAGTTTGGGCGAAATGCATTTTGTTGATTGGGTTAGGGAAATGGAATATGAGGCTGTTGGCCAAAATTTAGGGGGCTCCCAGCTCATAGCCATGTTATATAATTTAAGTAATGGATTACCTGGTACTCGACACAGCAATCTGAGTTTGTTGTAAGTATCCACCTCACCAGGGGGACGTGGAGTTTCCCTTAGTGCTGCTCAAGTTCATAATAGTGAAAGGGTTTGCAGTCATCTTCCTTTCTGAGCATAAAACAAACAGTTCTCCCCTTTCTCATATTTGTCATTTAATTTTTCCTTGTGGTACTGGGAAGTTGTAAGTAGATGTAGCACCCAAGCACTGGGTAACTCATTGCCCCGGAGGGGGTGAGGGGGCGCGATTGCCATTTTGTTTTCCTTAAATTTATTTATGTCCCTCCATGCCCGCTAAGTAGGGTGGAGCATTAAAAACCGTTGACAAATTTTTCCCAGTTGTTTGCCGCAGCTCTGTTACGCTCTCTGGGAGCACAAGGGGGGTTTGGAGGCCCAGCATTCCCGGGGGACGATGTTTTCTATAGGTAGGGCCCAGTCGGCGCGTATTTTTAGTGTACGAAATTTTTGAACTTGTAATAAGTATGGTTTTTGAAGGAGGGATGATTTATGGGAAGTTTTTTGGGTTTTTTGGTACCAAAAGGTTTTAGTGGGGCTCTAAGTAGTTCTGAAAACTGTTACAAGTATTGTTAAAAGGGAAAAAAAAATAGGAATTTTACCCGTCAGTCAATGTGCAAAAAAGTCATCATCTGATCAGTGGGAACTTTAAAAAATTTCCGGGAAAATCCCCCCAAGAAGGATAGTTTACCCAAATTAGTGAGGGAAGCCAGGGAAATGATCAGACGCTATATCTGTTACAATGGAAAACTCCCCGATGGAGGGAAATAATGTTGAAGCCCCGACACAGGCAAGGGGGCCTCCATAATATGTTGGGTTAAGGCAAATACAATTTGACATTACCCATTTACTGGAGAGAGGTTTCCGGGGGGCAAAGCCCCGCGGCCCGGGCTTGTCAGGCCCCTGGGGATCAAGCCTGATAACCAGGCTGTTGTGTGGCTGCACGCAAACAAAGTCGGCCGCAAAACCAACGTAGGCATTATCATGATGTTTAAGAGTGACACAGTTGACGCCCTTAGATTCCAAAAGTGAGTTTCCCAAGCTTTTTTGTCTCGCATTTTTATCGCCAATAATGAGAGTAGGTTTGAATGAGCACAATTTGGGAGCCCAAGTAATTAAACTTTCAGCGGGGCGTCAAGTTAAAAATGTTGAGGCAGAGTTTCCCCCATATAAAACCTAACACGTGATTTTACCCCCTTTTTTTCTTTTTGGGAAAAAGTTGATGGGGAATGATTTTTTTATATATAGAAAAACAAGAGTTTGTAGATTTGAGGTTATATGCAAAAATATGGAATTTTGGGGGTTGGGGGTTTTTCAGGGATCTGCCCCTTTGACACACAAAACAAAGGGGTTTGTGGTTACTTTAAGAAAGGGTTTGGGAAATTTTTTCTAAGGAGCAATATTCCCGCATAAATGAAAGTTTTACGAGTTTTGATCCATTATAAAAGTCCTGGGGGTTTTGTTGGTTTTCGCAAAGAAAAAATTGTTATATAAATAGCAATTATCAATGTCAACAGTGGCCCCTGGTCCATAGTTTTCTAAGTGCATTTCCATTTTAAGGCCTCGTGGAGCTTTGTATAATCAGAGCACGACCTGTTCAGTATAATGATGATGGGTGACACCACCACTCACTTCCCCCCCACTAACATTACACCAACACACAACGCCCATCACCAACCCACTACCAAAAGGTGTTCATTACTTTTATCAACAGTATTGTTTTCAACTTTAATGTCAAAGGGGTTTTTAACCTCATCAAGTGCTCTGTTAGTTCAGTAAAGCCCACAAAAATTTTGCTAATTTTTTTAAAACACTGGAACGGAGTCCTGCAGCAAATGGTTGAACAACAAACATCTTTTCCCTAGGGAAAACTGAAGCCATTCCTTTGGCACGAAAAAAAAACTGAAAAGGGAAAAAATTTTTAATGTCAATGTAATGGGGGCCCACACTTTGGTTTCATCAGAAAAAATTTTTGGGGAATCCCCTTTGACCCATGAAAGTCAGAAATTGATAGGGAACAGTGTAGAAAAAAAGCGAATGCCAGCTGAAGTTCCTGTTAGAAAGCACGAGTCAACCCACTGAGGCCGCGGGGACCCTATTCTAGCCCTTTAACAATGCCTAGGATTACCTTGCTCTTTTTGGGTACTCTGCCTTGACAAAAAAACTGAAAGAAGACTGCAAACGCCCAGAAAAAAATAAAAAGTTTTCATCCGGGGGCGGGCCCAAAAGAGAACTTTGGGGGCCAGGAGAATTACAGCAGTTGGGTTTGCTGAATGTTGAAACAGAGTTTAAAAAAACTAAGCTAAATCTGTTATAAAATTGCTCCAAACAATGCCAGAATACTTGCTGCAAATTTTTTCAAGGTTGGAACCAAAGCAATCAGGGGAAACTCCAGGTAAACTCCCTACAGGGGGAGAACACAAATTTTTTAGTACCCCCATCAGTGGGCCCGGCTTTAAAACCTTTTTTTGTTTTCCAATAAAGGGAATGAACAACTGCCCGCACATGTCAAAGCCAGTCAACTGAACCATTCAAAAGGGCCAAAAGGTGTCTGATTGTACTACAGAAAGGGAGGGGAATGATTTCTATTTTTTTTAGCTAACTTACGTGTAAATTTTACCTTCTTCCTAGTAATGACCCTCGTATTGTAGATAGTCTTAATGACCTTGGTGTAGTAGATAGTCTTTTTAGTATGATAATAAGATGTTATCTTCATTGTAGAATAATAAGAAAATATTATAACCTTTATATTATAATAAGGTAAAAGGACCCCAATGGAAATAAGTCACTCTGTCTGACTTTTTTGGGTTATCCTAGGTTCTCTACACATATGCTGCTATGTATGATAATTCTATGTAACTGTATTTGTGTATACCTGAATAAACTTACTTAATCACACTCTTCACCACCACTTACATTACGCTCATCACTATTACTGCCATTATAGACACCATTGCCCTCATCACACTCTTCACCACCACTTATATTACGGTCATCACTATTACTAACATCATAGACACCATTGCCTTCATTATGATGCTCACTACAGTTATCAACACAATATAAGATATAGAGGAAAGGAAAGAAAAAGATGTGTACAATAACTTGTGAACATTGTTAGATGTCAACCATTGTGACAATCTTATGAAGACTCGCTTTACAACAACAAGATATATTGATATGTAAAATAAAACATTGTTTTTCATCTTTATTTACAAATATGTCAATGGCAGTTATTTTTAAAGGATATCATTGAAGACCATTTGCAATACATTGCAGTTTAGAAGTAAAGTGAGTGATAATTATAGGAGGATGGCTAGTAGCTGAACTTACAAACTTTGCGGTGTGTTGGCACAGCTGCTTCACTCTGCTGTCAACTTCAAAGTTTAACTTCACTGACTTCACATACACACAATATGTGGTCACTGTTTTCCCGCGACCCAGCCAGTTCACTTCCTTATGAGATTGGTGAAGAAGTGAGGTGTGAAGACAATCGCACGGTATGGAAGCTGCACCGAGGCAAGAAAAGGGTAAGTTAATATACGTTTAAATTTATATATATATCTTATTTTTACTTTTAATTTCTCATGTTAAACCATTTATCCATAACACAGATTATTGGTGAAGAATGTCATCACACACACTATACTCATAATGCGGGGAAAAATTTATCCATTGATAAATTTTCACAGGTAAAATTTGTCGTGAATCTCAGTGGAAATAATCAACATTAACATTTTATGTTAAATATACACATTAACTTTTGTTTGTTAAATATACATAATATATATGTATACCTGTAACATGTACCCGCTAGACCAGTTAAGATACCTGTTTTTAACCTTTAAATATAAATAATTATCACAAGGACCCCAATGGAAATAAGTCACTTTGACTGACTTTTTTGTGTTATCCCAGGTTCTCTACACATATACTGCTATGTATGATAATCTGTATAACTGTATTTGTGTATTCGTGAATAAGCTTACCAGCATTTCCCAGCTGGGGTTTCCCAGAACCCTAGGGTTCTGCGAGAGGTCACTACGGGTTCCGACAGAAATCGTCTCCTTTCAGTTGAAAATGAATTCTGTTTATCTAAAGTTTGACACTGAATTATGTATTTGTGTACCAAAAGACTACAACAGGTTTCACATTAGTGAAGCAAATTTCATTATCTAAATTGCTTTAAAAATAATATTTCCTTGTCCCATATATTTGTTCATATGGCACTTGCCTTGATTTATCTTATGTCTTTTCAATACTGTTAATAAATGATTAAATTGTAGTAGTTATTATCTGCTTTCATTCTGTTTGTTTTATATATGATATTTGTTATGTTTATTTTTTTGTTTATAGATGTGTAGGTTGCCATTGGCGCTGCTGTTCAGGGACTGTAGTTCGTGTACGTGACGGTGAATGTTTTTCTTCTCTGGGTTACCATTCCTTTTTAGTTAATGGCTGATGAATAAAAATCTGCCATGTTTTATGTACAGGCTGCATCACTGTACAGCATTTTGCTTTATGGCATTTTGCCAGTGCAGCGGTTTTCAGTTATACAAATTCTTCACATATTCAGACTTCTTGCAATAAAAATATTCGCCACTCATTTCAAGCTAAGGACGAAAATATTTTAAGGTAAGTAATGTGTGTACTGTATATGTATTTTTTAGGCCTAGCTCTATTCCTCACTTAATATATGATAGTGTAAACATGTTATTAAGCTTTTAAATGTATTTGAAAGTGTGAAAAGGCTGTTTCATTTTACAGCAATTTTTGCTTTACAGCAGTAACCTGGACCTAACCTGCTGTGTAAGTGGGACCTGCCTGTACCAGTAATTTTTTTTATAACATTTTTAGTTTGGTTCAAATTTATTGTAGTAGGTCAGTTAAGAAAACTTTTTTGTAATTTGCTTGATCTAATTATCTCAGATATTTTGTAATTTGCATGGTCTTAGTATCTCAGTTATATTCATTTTTGACTTTCTGCAGCAAAATGGAGAAGAGGTCAGTTTATTCGTATGTGACGTAAGAGATGGAAACACATCCTATTTGGATGTAGCCAAGGCGGCTATCAAGAAGCTTAAAACTCTGCGCCATCCCTGCATCCTCACCTACATTGATAGTTTGGAGGTAAGTTTTTTTTATTTTAATGAATAAGTGACTGTAAGAAGTTTCCTCTCAGTGATGGTAACATCCTAAGCCCCCTTCTTCAGCTCATCTATATCAGTGATCTACCAAATGTTGCTATAAACCTTTACTAATGACATCACCTTACTTTTATTTGACATTGACCCTCTGATATTAAATAACTGTGTTAATGGTAAACTAAAAAGAGCTACAACTGAATGATGAGAAACAAACTACATCATTTTAGGAATAAACTTTCATGTCAAAGTGGACAGAAATGAAAAGGGAAATTTCTTATGCCTGGTCACAGACCGGGCCGCGGGGGTGTTGACCCCTGGAACTCTCTCCAGGTAAACTCTCCAGGTAAACTCTTGTAGAATTGAAATTTAATGTTCATATAATGTAAATACAAAATATATAATACAGTAGGTATGCCTTCCAAATTTTGTTGCTATGCCCTCCATATTTTGCTGATAAGCCTGAACTCTTCACTCATTTATCTATTATCTTACTTAATATAAAATCTGTGACTAGAATCTACAACAGCAGCCTACTCTGTTCCAATTATCAGTTGCTAAAATGAAGCTGTTAGGACCTGTAGATGACCCTCAAGGCCATTATTGAGGTCTCTAGATTTTGCAAAATCTAAACTCCATTCATATATCATTCTGTTCACTGAACATCTTAAAGTCCCTGAACTGTAACACTGACCCAACTTTAAGACCTTGTGAGCTGTAACAGAACATCCACCAGACTGGAAAGAAATCCCTCATTGATATTCATTGTTTGGTTGAATCTCTATAGAAATTATGCAAATACAAGAACCAAATACAGTGGACCCTCAACCAATGATGGCATCGTATAACTTTAAATCTGACTAGCGATACATTTTAACGCAAAAATTTTGCCTCGACTAGCGCTAAAAAACTCGACCAACGTGATTCGTTCCATTTGAGACGCGTCCACATGTGGCCTGCGCAGTGTTTATAAGCCAGCCACCACGGTCGCATCCAAACATACAATCGGAACACTTCATATTATCACAGCGTTATTAGTGATTGCACCTGCAAAATAAGTCACCATGGGCCCCAAGAAAGCTTCTAATGCCATCCCTGTGATAAAAAGGGTGAGAATTAGTATGGAAATTAAGAAAGATTTTGAAGGGTTTGGGGCTAACCCTGAGATGCCTATGCCAATTGTGGAATCCATTGTGCCTACTTCAAAGATTAAGGAAATGTGTGCAAAGTGGGTTGAACTGCAAACATTTATGGATGAAAAATCACTCTAACACAGCTATTGCAAGCTGTGCTGGTGACTATTACAATGACAATGTTGTGGCCCATTTTAGACAAATCGTAAAGGAACGGGAGGTACAGAGCTCTATGGACAGATATGTTGTGCGACAGAGGTCCAGTGACTCTCAAGCTGGTCCTAGTGGCATTAAAAGAAGGGAAGTAACCCTGGAAAAGGACTCGACACCTCAAGTCCTAATGGAATGGGATTCCCCTTCTAAACACTAACACCATCCACACACTCCCCTCCTCCCATCCCATCAATCATCACCAGATCTTCAATAAAGGTAAGTGTCATGTAATTGTACATGTCTTCTTCAGTTTGTGTGTATTAAAATTAATATTTCATGTGGTAAAATTTTTTTTTTTCAATACTTTGGGGTGTCAGGAACTGATTAATTTGATTTCCATTATTTCTTATGGGGAGAATTAACTCGACTAACGATAATTTTGACTAACAATGAGCACTCAAAAACTGATTAATATCGTTGGTTGAGGGTCCGCTGAATCAGGAATTGCTCATGAAACAAAGCAAAAAGTTGTGTACTGTATTAATTAAGGAATTCAAATAAAATTGTCCAGTGCGGATATCATACAATTCAGATTTCGACCACTTTTTTGGGCGAAATTTTACCCCAGGTTTCTTACTTCCCCTTGGAAATCGTTCGTATCAGACACGTCCGTCCGCATTCATCCGAAGCATTGGTGGTAGAGGGTGGTAGTGACTGTGGTAGAGGGTGGTAGTGACTGTGGTAGAGGGTGGTAGTGACTGTGGTAGAGGGTGGTAGTGACTGTGGTAGAGGGTGGTAGTGACTGTGGTAGAGGTGGTAGTGACTGTGGTAGAGGGTGGTAGTGACTGTGGTAGAGGGTGGTAGTGACTGTGGTAGAGGGTGGTAGTGACTGTGGTAGAGGGTGGTAGTGACTGTGGTAGAGGGTGGTAGTGACTGTGGTAGAGGGTGGTAGTGATGGTGGTAGAGGGTGGTAGTGATAGTGTTAGAGGGTGGTAGTAATGGCAAAAAATCGAAAATGCTGAGAAGTTGTTGTTGGTGTGGATCAAAGAAAAACAGTTAGGAGATAGTGTTGTGGAGGTAATAATTTGCGAAAAGGCAAGGCAGTTGCATGCGGATTTTTGTAAAGAATATGCCAACAAGAGTCTTCAATAAAGGTAAAGGTGATTTAAATGTTCATTTATCCATTAAAATTAGTGCTTTATATTTATTTCTCATTGTTTTCTGTATGTAAAACTATAGTTATTCTCTCTAAAATGTATTTTTTATTAATATTTTTGGGTGTCTGGAATGGATTAATTGGATTTACATTATTTCGGATTTCGACCGAATTTCTGGAACGGATTAAGGAGGAAAACCGGGGTTCCACTGTACCCAGTTGTTTAAGCATTTGAGAAAACGTTAAAATATGCAGTGTCTGTTTTTTAACTGTACAATAAAACATGTTTTAGATTACATATTATTACATACACCTTTTAGATTTGTTTTGGTATTATTCACACTTTTAATTATTTTTTTCTAGCTTGAATTATATTACATAAATCAGTATTACATTCATTAATGCTGTATCTTTATCTTCACTGTTATTCATGGCTTTTGCTAATGATTCCAATAATTGTACTTATATTAATTTGTTATTAATATGTTTTTCTACTATTCCATATTGTATTGCTAATGATTCTGATGATTGTTTATATATTAACTTGCTAATATATTTTTCTTCTGTTGCATATTATAGTTTGTCATACACTATTTATAATTACTGTCACAAAAGTTATGCATGCTTTATACCATTACTTTTGCCTATTTTAAATTTTCCAAAATTAGCCACATATCTGCCTAGGTCTTCAAATCATAAGCTAAACATTTTGCATATTTTTTTATTATTTGAGCTTAGTTCTAGTTAAGTTTGCCTGAAGTGTTGTGTATAACTTCTGGATTTTTTCATCTGTACACAGAAATCTTTTAAGATATTCATTGTAATATCTATGTACAGGTAATTTAACATTTCAACCCTTTCAGGATCGTTGCCGTAATGTTATGTCTTGAACTCAGGGTCTGTGACATATTACATCCTGAGCTCAACTCACTCAGATAAGCTGTGAGTGGTAAATTTTGGCCTAGACATGAGAGACTGGGTCTGTGCAGTGAGTGTGAACCATATAAAAACAATCCTGCCCCATGTGGTACATGATTAGAAAAACATAACTGTCTGTGTGTGTGGTTTAAAATAATGACCTTGTGGTGCATTTCTGGAATTTTTTGTTGTTTTATTGGCAGTTTCTTGATATCATTTAATAGAATAGAAGACATTTTACTCAAATAGAGGTGATTTCAATTGGTTTCTGGGCTGAAGTAGCTTGAAATTGAGCTCAAAGTAGCAGAAATATTTGATTTTTGTCAATATTCCAGAGGATGGGTAAGGCCTCCCTACAATTCCCAGTCTGTTTTATAGGTTTTTATTAGGTCTGATTCATTTATTGGAACACTGTGAACCATGAACAGTCTTTCCTGGTTATATATTATTGTCCAAGAAATAGAGTAAATTGTCTATATTGTGTTTAGGAAATTAAAATGGAAACCAAGTGTAATAAAGGAGAGGGCTGGAGATGTGACTAATGAACAGAGGGAATGTTGTTTTAATGCCAGGAATGTCTAAATTGTTTATTATGGATTATTTTGAAATTGGCATTTTTTAAATTTTTTGTATGAAATTGGTCAAATTAACGAATTCTGATCACTATATTGGGTAGTTGACACAGTTGAATGGGTGGCTTCTTGTGCTCATTTGATATGATGGAAGGCATACCACGAAATAGCTAAGAATTTGGTCGACTGGAACAATGGAATTGGTCCAAAATTGGACTCAGTGTTGGCAAAATCACTGGTGTTTACATTGCAGGAGACTGCTAGCTTTGTGTCAGCACAATTCCATAAGTTTCCCATCAGATTTTGTATTTTTGGTATCATTATCTTCAGAAAAAGATTCTCTACCATTTCATGACAAAACCTAATTTTTTTTTTTTTTTTTGGGGGGGGGGGGGGGGATTTTTGGACACTGAGAAGTTTCTGATTGGTAGTCTATATCCTGAAGGAGGGGGAGGGGTTAATGAACAAGACTGAAGGGGCCGTGTTTGAATATGGTGAGCTAATGCTTAAACTAGCAGGCCAGTGATCAAACTAGCAGGCCAATGATCAAACTAGCAGGCCAGTGCCCAAACTAGCAGGCCAGTGCCCAAACTAGCAGGCCAGTGCCCAAACTAGCAGGCCAGTGCCCAAATTAGCAGGCCAGTGCTCAAACTAGCAGGCCAGTGCTCAAACTAGCAAGCCAGTGCTTAAACTAGCAGGCCAGTGCTCAAACTAGCAGGCCAGTGCCCAAACTAGCAGGCCAGTGATCAAACTAGTAGGCCACTTCTCAAATTAGTAGGCCAGTGATCAAATTAGCATGGCAGTCCTCAAACTAGCAGGCCAGTACTCTCACACTAACCTACTAACCTGCTAGTTTTGAGACATACTTGACATGGGTTCAGACTTTACATGTACTACTCAATTATTTACAACAGTGGGAGACGGCCGACTTGTTGAAAAAAAAAAAAAATGATAAACTATTGTTATTTATTATTTTTTATTAATTTTAATATTAAATGGTAAAATCTTGTGGCAAGGAATATGAAGTGTGGTATTTAATGTTTCTGGAGTTTATAAATTACACATTAATAATTTTTTTGATATCAGTTAACATTTGTTTAATGTTTTTGTTTAGAGCGATAAGTTGGTGTACTTGGTAACGGAGCCCGTAACTCCACTCTTGACGTGGCTGAGTGACGACTCTCTGACTGCTGCACATCGCACTACTGCTGTGTCATGGGGGCTGCTTCAAGTCACTGTGAGTCAGCACTTCTCTATTTTCTTCAGTTCTACTTGATAATTTTTAACTCTTGAAAGAATTGTCATTGCAAAGTAACAATGTATATGCAGTACAGTATATGAGGCATTGTATGGCAGAAAGGAATAAGTGCCACTATGGCCAATATTCGGGTTAGTGAAGGAATAGTCATTAACCCTTGAACTGTCCAAATGTAGATCTACGTTCATGTACGTAGCGCTCCAACCTTTATTTTCTCCATTTGAAAACATGTAAAAAAAGTAGATCTACATTTGGAGCACTACGCATGTCAGCATAGATCTACATTTGGATAGTTTAAGGGTTAATGTGTAGTCTGAGGGAATGTGTAGATAGTGCCTTGTGTTGAGAAATGGTTTACCAGCTAACGTTAAAGATTAAATATAGGGAGTACTTAGCTGATAAGACAGCTATCGTCCACACAGCCGCCCCTGCAGACGAGGTCTCGAGAAGCTGTCTCATCCACTTCTTAACGGGCTGAAATAAAGTATATTAGGTATGATTGTAAATTACCCCTAGTGGGTGTTATTTCAGCATTTCATTCACTGATTGCTGACATACTTACTTGTGTGGACTCAAAATTCCGCACCTCACTGCTGATTATAGGTTGATAACAAGCTCCTTGTGACACAAGAACTGCGCAGTCCCCTGTACTACAAGAAATCTGAAACCCACCTTGCTATTGTAGCATGAGCTATGGTGTTCTTCACACCCTCGACAGGTATCGGTGACTTGATAGAAGCTGAAGTCTTCCATAGTCTAGGAATACATACACTGGTACACTATGTTCCACAAGGTTTGTCTTTATTGTTCACAATCTTATCACTAAAGAAGCTGATCACACTTCTCTGTAAGTGTTTATCGTGTTTTGTAAGACACTTTGTTCACACTAATGCACGGATCAGTGTTCTTTGTTGGTTATCCTGGCGTCAGTGTGACTCCCAGTAGGGTGAAAAGTAATCTCACCTCACAGCATCCTACGCCGCTGCAGTGCCCCCAGAGCATAAAGAAAAAGCTGACCTAGTACTTTTTGCTTCCTTGCCAGACTTCCTCCATGAAGCAAAGCAGAATGCTTGATTCCTGCTGTCTTAAGCATAGACAACAATGTATACTATCTTTACCATGGTAATAAAGTGAGAGCAGGATTTTCCTTAATTATCCTGCTAAGGTAAGAGATGGACTGTCTCTTATTAAACTACACTTTGCAACACTGGACTCTTGCAAGGAGCGGCGGTCGCTTGACCACGTCGTATACTCGTACTGCATCTGGGATCAATTACTTGCTGCAGCAGTAAACAAGATGTTTGCCCCCTTCTGAGAGGGCTGGGCCCCTCAGGGCTGAAAGGGGCTGAAGGGGGCTGATACCCCCCTCCTGGAGAAAATTTCTCCACACCTTGTGTGCCTGCAAGTTAGGATCAGAACTCCATAGCAAAGTATGGTAACTTAAACTTTATTGCCTTGATCTCCCCCAGGACTATTATTCTTCATTATTTAACCCTTTGACTGTCTCGACCCCAAATCCTAAAGTGTGTCTCTGTGTCACAAGATTTTTGAAAAAAAAAAAATTCCTTTGAAATCATAGAGAATCTTTTCCCGATGTTAATGTCACCAAAAGTACGAAATTTGTTGGAAAACTTATGGAATTATGCTCTCGCGAAGTTAGCATTCTCGGTGATGTTTACGCATCGGTGATTTTGCCCACTTTGAGCTCTATTTTCGGCCAATTCTATTGTTCCAGTCGACTAAACTCATAGCTATTTCTTTAGAACTCTATCTGGTCTATAGACTGATTACAAGAAACTGCCCATTTACCAATTTCAACTACCCAATAAAGTGGTCAGAAATTGGTAATTTGGCCAATTTCACACAAATTAAAAAAGATGCCAGTTTCAAAATGGAGTCCAGAATGAACAATGCAGACATTCCTGGCACTAAAATAATATTTTCTTTGTTCATCATCATGCCTCCAGGCCCCTCTTATATTACTCTTGCTTTCTATTTTGAATTTTTATTCATACAAAAAGTAGAAGATCTACTGTATACAGGCTACTGCATTATTGTAATAATTGTATAAAAAATGTCAATCCATTCATGACTGAGTATTAGAATGGCTAACTGGACACTTATTGGGCAATGACGTCATTTGTTTACTCTTGAACATGGGCAAAAATCGAAATTTGAGCTCAGTTTCAAGGTTCTTTTCGTTGCGAAACCAATAAAAATCGTCAATATTTCTGTAATATTTCTTCCATTCTATCAAATAAGACCAAGAAAATGAGAATATAACCATAAATACCTTATGAAAATATACACCTCAAAATCAGTGTTAATCCAAAAACATGGTCGGAGGTTTTTTTTCTCATGCACAGCGTGCTGCACGATTTTTTTTATACTGTGCACACTGACCACGTGGACCCATTCTCTCGCATGTGGGCCTACCAACTTTCTCCTGCTTGATTTGAAGCCGCTAGAATTTTGGCATATTAATACGTCAAAAACATTGGCTCGTAAGATATATATATACAACCGAAACAGTCAAAGGGTTAAATGTGATGTGGTATTTGCTACCATCAACATGAAAACACCTGTTAAAATGAGCTGTGTTTCCTTATGAAATTGTGCCTAACGTATAGGGACTTGCCACACCCCTACCAAAAAAAGCATATGCTAAAAGTTAAATACATTTGAGAAAGAAATGTTGAAAAAATCCTATAGTATTATATAATGATGTAAAATGTTTTTAAGGGGTAAGACTCCTGGAACTGTAAGAGTGCTACTCCCAGAGGTGTGGTGGGCTGGTACAGCTCAGCTCGGTGTATCCTTTGGTGGTTCTATCAACCCTCAAATAAAAATATTTTTCAGAATTGCTCTGAATCCTAGATCATACATTCACTATACAACTTTCTTGTTAAATAACTTTTTTTTCACACTTTTATCAATCACCAACAAATTTAACAAACTGTAAAGATATGGCAAAATTAGGTATGACTGCTGAAGACAGTGTAATATGTAATCACAAGATAATGGGTTACCAGGCTTCAGGTACCACCTTCATGCTTATTTTTTAAACTAAGGCACAGAGGATCAGTTGGTTTTCCTGAGCAATTAGGTCATTGATACAGTTTCTCATTAATATATTGTTAAAAATGCAATTTCTCTGGATGGGTGGTGAATGGGATTCTGCAATGTATTTGAAGAACTATTTAATTGTCAAATATTTTTTAAAATTTTGTTTATTTTTGTTAACCTGTACGTATAACTAGTGTTTTAAGGCTTTTTTTTTATAGTTAAGATGTTGAGTTTTGCTGTTACTGCCCACAACACCTTTAATTTTAATTGTATTTTTTTTTTCATTTTTAATCTCCATGAGGAAGTGGAGAAGAATCTTTCCTCTGTAAGCCATGCATTTGTAAGTGGCGACTAAAATGCCGGGGACAAGGGGTTAGTAACCCCTTCTCTTATATAAATTACTAAATTTAAAAAGAGAAACTTTCGTTTTTCTTTTTTGGCCACCCTGCCTTTGTGGGATACGGCCGGTTTATTGAAAAAAAAAAAATGAGTTTTGCTATTACTGCCCACAGCACCTTTAATTTTAATTGTATTTTGTTTTTTCATTTTTCATCATTTTGATATATATGTATGTACATTGATCTCTATGAGGAAGTGGAGAAGAATCTTTCCTCTGTAAACCATGCGTTTGTAAGAGGCGACTAAAATGCCGGGAACAAGGGGCTAGTAACCCCTTCTCCTATATGCATTACTAAATTTAAAAAGAGAAACTTTTGTTATTCTTTTTAGGTTACCCTGTCTTGGTGGGATACGGCTGGTATGTTGAAAGAAAAGATTTTTTCAACACGTTGGCCATCTCCAACCGAGGCAGGGTGATCCAAAAAAAGAATGAAGCACTTTCATCATCATTCATATGTAATCACTGTCTTTTCAGAGGTGCTCAGGTATGACAATTTAGATGTTACTCCAAACAGCCAATATCCCAGACCCCTTCCTTTAAAGTGCAGGCTCACTTTGAGGTCACTGGTAAATTTGATCATGAGACTAAAGCTGTATTGCAGTGGCTGGAGAGGCAAAAGCTTTTTAGCAACTGATTCCCTAGTTAACTTGACAAGTGCTCAGATTTTTATAGTTTCACTGTTAGTGGTGTAATTATTTTTTCAGAATGTTTTAGAAGTACAGCCTCTCCTCACTTAGCGATGTACTCATTTACCGATGACTTGGACTTATGACGGGCTCTTTGACCAGTATGCATACCTAAATGCTAATGTATATTAGAGCTGAGTTCCTCTATTCTGTTTATTACAATATACAATACACTATAAACATTTAAAAATATACCAGGAATATTATAAATGGTGCAGAGGTGATTTTAAAACAATATCAAAGATGGTTGACACAAACCCACTACCATTATAGTATGCTCCTCACTTAGCGATGAATTTGTTTACTGACGTGGTCTTACGAACGAAACTCCATCATTAAGTGAGGAGAGGCTGTACTGCCTTTAGTTTGGCACTCTAAGCAGGCAGTGTGATATAAAGAAGACATTCTCTTGCACTGTATCTAGGTATTCGCCCTACTTTTAAAAATTCATGTCCAACTAGCAGGTTTCCTAGTCTCTTCACTGGTATTCTCTCTCTCTCTGACAGCACCTAGATTTTTGTTCAAGTGGGCTCACATTATTTTTTTTTTTTATTATTTTTAGAGGGGCTGTACTTCAAACACACACCAAAATGTGTTTTTTTTTTTTTTTTCAACATGTCAGTTCAGGGTGACTCAAAAAAAGTAAGAAACAAAAAAAGTAAGAAACACTTTAACCATCACTCACACAAAATCACTGACTTTGCATAGGTGCCCAGACATGATTATATAGATGTCACTCCAAACAGCCAATATCCCAACCCCCTCCTTTAAAGTGCAGGCATTATACTTACCATTTCTAGGACTCGAAGTCTGGCTAACTGGTTTACCTGAATCCCTTCACACAGTATTACCCTGCTCACACTCCAACGGCTCATCAGGTCCCAAAAACCATTCGTCTCCATTCACTCCTATCTAATATGCTCACAGATGCCTGCTGCATATCCAGACCCCTTGCACACTAAACCTCTTTTACCCCCTCCCTCTATCCTTTCCTAGGACTACCCCTACCACGTCTTTTTTTCCCCCACAGACTTATACGCTCTCCAGGTCATTCTTTCCTTGTTCCATTCTCTCTAAATGTCCAAACCATATCAATAATCCCTCTTCAGCCCTCAGAATAATACTTTTTGTAACTCCACACCACCTAATTTCCACACTACGAATTCTAGAGCTGCATAATATTTACACCACACATTACCCTTAGACATGACATCTCCACTGCCTCCAGTCTCCTCCTCGCTGCAGCATTCACAATCCATGCTTCACAGCCATATAAGAGTGTTGGTACCACTATACTCTCATACATTCCCTTCTTTGCCTGTATGGATAACATTTTTTTGTCTCCACTGACACCTCAGTGCACCACTCCCCTTTTTTCCTTCATCAGTTTAACCTCATCCTTCATAAACCCATCTGCTGACAAATCTACTGCAAACTATGTGAACACATTTTCTTCTTTCATACTCCCTTCCTCCAATGTAATATCCAATTTTTCTTTACCTAACTCGTTTGATACCCTCATCACCATACTCTTTTTTTTTTTTTTTTTTTTGCCAACACGTCGGTCGTCTCCCACCGAGACAGGGTGACCCGAAAAGAAAGAAAATCCCCAAAAAGAAAATACTTTCATCATCATTCAAAACTTTCACCTCACTCATGCATAATCACTGTCTTTGCAGAGGCGCTCAGGTACGACAGTTTAGAGGTCCCTCCAAACTGCCAGTATCCCAAACCCCTCTTTATCTATGTTCACTTTAACCTTTCATTACACACCCTCCCAAACTCATCCACTAACCTTTGCAGCTTCTCTTTAGAATCTCCCAAAAGCACACTATCATCAGCAAACAGTAACTGTCAACTCCCATTTTGTATTTGATTCCCCATAATTTAATTCACCCCTCTCCCCAACACCCTGGCATTTACTTCTTTTACAACTCCATCTATAAATATGTTAAACAACCATGGTGACATTACACATCCCTGTCTAAGGCCTATCCCTGTCTAAGGCCTACTTTTACTGGAAAGTAATCTCCCACGTACCCTAACCTGAGCCTCACTATCCTCATACAAATTCTTTACAGCATTTAGTAACTTACTACCTATTCTATACATTTGCAACATCTGCCACATTGCTCCCCTATCCACTCTTATCATATTCTTTCAACAAACTGGCCACATCCCACCTAGGCAGGGTGGCCTAAAAAGAAAAATGAAAGTTTCTCTTTTTAACTTTAGTAATGTATGTGGCCAGACAGGTGGCCGACAGACATTTCACTGATGGGCATTTGGCCAAATGGACATTTCACCGATGGACACATGGCAGAGTGGACATTTCACTGAACAGACATTTGGCCAAAAGGACATTTCAGTGAATGGACATTTCTCCGATAGACATTTCATTAACCGAAATGACATTTGATCGAAAAACTAGAGAACAGACAATTGTCAAATTTGTTCATATCCCTTGTTGCCCTGAGCTTTCCTGCAGTGCTCCTTTTTCTTGGTCTTTGACCAGACTCCATAACTACTACTACTACCACCTCTCTAGTTCCTACTACCTCTCTTGTCCTGTCCCTGTGTGCTGGCCTATGTGTACTGCCTCCTCTCCTCCTGATATTTTAGTCAAATATGAAGCGAAAATCATGTCTAATGTTAATATGATTAGTAAATGAATAAACCTTGACATAAAATCTTTAGTGACTTGTGATCAGCACGTTGACCTGGATTCAAAATTAGCCTTTCTGTATAGTCTGCAGATTGGTAAAATTAGTTCAAAGGTTGCAAGCATCACTGGAATGTTGGTTCATGACACCTGCTATAGATCATTCAGTTGCTCTCTTATAATTTTTAATTGCATATTATAATGTATATTAATTTATATTTATCCACAGAAAGGTCTGAGCTTCTTAAACAATGATGGGAATTTGATTCACTATAATGTTTGCGCCAGCAGTGTATTTGTTACACGTGCTGGAGAGTGGAAGCTAGGTGGGGTAGAATATTCCAGCAGCGACTCCTCGATGTTCCCTGTCAAAATTATTCCCAAACTGGAGGTGTACAACCCACCGGAAAAGATTGAGCCTTCGAAAATGTGCACTACAACTAAATGGTAAGGGCTTGCTCAGGTTCTTAGGTATGATGATCTTTTCCCTGACTCAGCTTCCATGAGCTTGAAAAGCAGAGACTCCTTTCCAGAGTCCCATCCCAAATCTATTTCACATTGTTTTCATTTGTTCATAATGTAATCTTGTTTAACCTCTTAAATTTTGGTTATGTATGGCTTGTATTTGTATTCTCCAGTTTTTCTGGTGGTTCATAATATAGAAGTGCAGCTTACGAATTTGCTTAGGTACATGAAGTGGTAGATCATGGTAATGAATATGATATTGTGTATATGATCTTCCGTAAGGCTTTTGATAGAGTTCCACATCAGAGGCTATTGAGGAAACTTAAGGCACACTGAATAGGAGGAGGAATTTTTTCCTGTGTAGCTGCATGGTTGACAAATAGGCAGCTGAGAATTTGCATAAATGGGGAGAAATCAAAGTGGGGGAATGTCACAAGCAGTGTTCCACAGGGGTCAGTGTTGGGTCCTTTGTTGTTCACAGTTTACATAAATGACATAGATGAGGGAATAAATAGCAACATAAGCAAATTTGCAGATGACACCAAACTAGGCCGTCTAATTCATTCTAATGAGGACAGAGGACTCCAGGAAGATATGAATAGACTGATGCAGTGGTTAGAAAGGTGGCAAATGCAGTTTAATATAGACAAATGCAAGGTTCTAAATGTTGGACAGGAAAATAACCATGCCACATATAAACTAAATAATGTAAATCTTAACCCTTTCACTGTTGAGATCCCTGCTCACAAACTTGCTTTCAGTGTCAAAAAATTAAAAAAAAAAAATTTTCTTATGAAATGATAGAGAATCTTTTTTGATTGTAATGGCACCAAAAGTATGAAACTTGATGGAAAACTTACAGAATTACACTCTCGCAAAGTTAGTGATCTTAGCGATATTTACACATAGGCAATTTTACCCGCTTTGAGCCCTACTTTTTTTACCAATTCCATTGTTCTAGTTGACCAAACTCATAGCTATTTTGCTAGAACTCCTTTTGGTCTATTGACTGAGTACAAGAAACCACCCATTTACCAATTTCAACTTCCCAAAAATTTGATCAGAAATTGGTAATTTGGCCAATTTTATACACAAGGAAGGCCAATTTCAAAATAGGGTCCATAATTAACAATACAAACATTCTGAGCACTAAAACAACCTTTTCTCTGTTCATTAGTCACATCTCCAGGCCCCTCTTATATATTGCTTGCTTTCCATTTTGAATTTTTATTGACACAAAAATAGATATTATTTATACCATGTACTGATATAAATAATATCAGCACATTTATGAAAGCATATTAGACCCACCAGTTGACGTATATTGGACGTGTGATGTAATTTGTTTACTCTTCAACATTGACAAAAATCAAACATATCCGCTACTTTGAGCTCAATTTCAAGGTACTTTTAGTCTGTAAATCATTCAAAATCATCTGTAATATATCTTCCATTCTATCAAACGAGACCAAGAAAACAAGAATACATCCATAAATACCATACGAAAATACACTGCAAAGTCACTGTTTTAAACGAAAAAGTTTTTTTTTTTTCTCATGCACTGCGTTCTGCAGGACTCTTTTTGTATACTGCTGATACTGACCATTCAAACCCATTGTCTTATGTAGGCCTACCAGCTTTCTCCCGCAAGATTGGAAGCCACTAGAATTTTGGCATACTATTATGGGACCGACACTGGCTTGCAGGTTGTAATATTACGGGACCGACAGTGAAAGGGTTAATATTACTGATTGCGAAAAGGATTTAGGAGTTCTGGTGAACAGTAATCTGAAACCAAGACATTAGTGCATAAGTGTTTGCAATAAAGCGAACAGAATCCTTGGCTTCATATTAAGGAGCATAAATAATAGGAGTCCTCAGGTTGCACTCTGAAGGAGGGGTGTTAATGTTGCATTTCTATAACTGTAGTGTAAGCTCGCCTCTGGCAAGACAGTGATGGAGTGAATGATGGTGAAAGTTTTCCTTTTTCGGGCCGCCCTACCTTGGTAGGAAACAGCTAATGTGTTCATAATAATAATAAAACTATGACTTAAATATTTTTTTTCTTTAGCACACTGGCCATCTCCCACCAAGAAAAACTTTCACCATCATTCACACTATCACCATCTTTGTATAGGCATGCAGATACAACAGTTTAGATGTCATTCTAAACAGCAAATATCCCAAACCCCTCCTTTAGAGTGCAGGCACTGTTCTTCCCAACTCCAGGACTCAAATCCTGCTAACCGGTTTTAATGTAGTTATTCAAGCTTATTCCTTTTTGTTATGATTACTAATACACCTACCATCCGATGACCTGCTCGACTTACGACCACTCGACTTACGACCGTGTTTTTTATTCCAAATTTCTGGGAAATAAACAACTATTTGTGTTGTACACAGTGTTTATCCTAAACCTTACAGTATAAAACACAGTACTAACAACATAAAAAGTAAAGTAAAACATGAAACACCAAAATAAAACAATAAAATAAAGTCATTACAAAAATGTTTTGTTGATATTCAGTAGTAAAGTTCAACTTACGACCATTTCGACTTACGACCGGTTTCTTGGAACCAAACTCGGTCGTAAGTCGGATGGTAGGTGTATTTTTTTACAAATGAATGTTGTTTTCAGTAATGCTTCCCAAAGATATTGATGACCATTCTGAATCACTTGCTAGAAAAGTGAATATAAAGTTCTGGGCCTAAATCTGGACGATAAATAAAAATACAATACTCTTCTTGTCCCTCTTAATGCCACCCAGAAGACACATTTTAGGGTAAAGTTTTAGATTCAGATCCACTACTGGCCTTGAAATTAAGACTTTTTTATATAATTTCACTTGTTTCTATGGAATATAATGTATCTATTTTTTAACACTCCGGCCATTTCTCACCGAGGCAGGGTGACCCAAAAAGAAAGAAAAAACCCAAAAGGAAAGAAAAAACTCATCATTCAACACTTTCACCATCACTCATACATAATCACTGTCTTTGCAGAGGCGCTGAGATACAGCTTACATGTCCCTCCAAACTGCCAATATCTCATACCCCTCCTTTATCCCCTTAACTGTCCAAGCATAGATCTACGTTTTCTCGCCCAGCACTCTGAATATTTTGACCCTCGGATCACCAGGTATTGGTACGTCAAATAAAACATGAATGGATACACAAATAACCCGCACATAAAAGAGAGAAGCTTACGACGATGTTTCGGTCCGACTTGGACAATTGACAAAGTCACACAGTGTGACTTTGTCAATGGTATTGTGCCTTTTTATTATTAACATGAATGGATATCTGCTGCGCAGCCGCCCTACCTCTATCATATATATCAGATGCACCTGGGTATTTGTAGCTGACCAGTAGTTGCACCTGGTTATCCGTTGTCTTGATTGAAGCAGACGTGTTCTTTGAAGAGTGTTGTACTTACTACACTCTGTTAAGATCACAACATTCATTGTTACACACTGTTCATCAAGTATTGTTTATTATTCACAATCTTATCACTAAAGAAGCTGATCACACTACTCTGTAAGTGTTTTGATGTATTCTTTGAGATTCTTTTATGTACACATATGCACAGATCAGTGTTCTTTATTCATTATCCCATTGTCTGTGTCCCTTGGCAGGGTTAAAATCAAGCTAAGCTAAAATGCCTCTCGCCCCCAGCACATAAAGGAAAAACTGACATAGCATATTTCCCTTCCTTGCCAAACTTCCACCATGAAGCAATACAAATTGCTTGATTCTTGCTGTCTGGGCATAGACAACAATGTATACTATCTTTAACATGGTAATAAAGTGGGTGCAGGATTTTCCTTAATTGTCCTGCTAAGGTAAGAGATTGTCTCTCATTAAACTACACTATTTGCAACACTGATCTCTTGCAAAAAAGTCACATGACCTATGGCACACGCTCATACTGCATCTGGAATCAATTAAAGTGTTGATGTAGAGATGCAGAAGCAAGACGCCATCAGCCCCTCTGGAGGGCTGAGTCCCTCAGAGGGCTGAAGGGGCTGGAAAGGGCTGAAGGGGCTGGAAAGGGCTGAAGGGGGCTGATACCCCCCTCCTGGAGAAAATTTCTCCACATCACTATGTGCCTGAAAAAAAAGTGTTGTGGTACCTTGACTTACGAGTGCCCCAACTTAAGAGTTTTCCGATTTACGAGGCATTGCTTGGTCGATTTTTTCCCTTGAGTTGCAAGCCAAAATCTGAGTTACAAGCGAAGAATTTTTTTTTTAACAAGTCGGCCGTCTCCCACCGAGGCAGGGTGACCCAAAAAGAAAGAAAATCCCCAAAAAGAAAATACTTTCATCATCATTCAACACTTTCACCTCACTCACACATAATCACTGTTTTTGCAGAGGTGCTCAGAACACAACAGTTTAGAAGCATATATAAAGATACACAACATATCCCTCCAAACTGCTAATATTCCAAAACCCCTCCTTTAGAGTGCGGGCATTGTACTTCCCATTTCCACTTCAATGAAAAAAATATTTACTGAAAATGACATTTGGCAAGATCCCCGGCCTAAATGGCACAACGAAAGGTGGTTGTGGGACTTGGTACATATAAAATAATCCTAGTGCGATGTTCTCACTGGAGGTAATCGTGCAATTATCTTTAGTTATTCTACAAAAAAGTAAGGTTGCTAGATTTTGACATTTGCAGAATATCTTGCCCTTTACTCCCACACAAATCCCAGAATATTTGAAATAGTATTTCCAATATTCCACATGCTAATTGTAGAACAATCATTTTTTTATGATTCCTGTCAATATTATTGCATTTACTTCAATTATAAATAGTGGTCTTCATCAAATCGGTCAATAACTTGCTTCTGAGATATTCACATACCACTGCACCAGTGATCTAGTGCAGTTAGCCTCTCAAAAACTCCTTTTTCTCTTACCCAGGACCAAAGAACACGTTATAGGAAGGAGCAGTAATGATTTTATATACTTGGATTG